GGGAGGGACTGCGGACAGCGAGCTGGAGCCACTTGGCACCAGCCACACACAGCTGACCAGGGGCTGGTGGCTCTGGGTGGCAGAGGGGGGGACACTGCCTGGCTGGGGGAACATCACCCAGAGCAGGGCTGGTCCCAGCTGGGCACCAGCTTTATAGTCCTGGTAGGGAAAAATGCAGAGAAGGAAGCAGATGGTGGCAGGGGGTACCCCTCTCCCATTGCACAGCACCTTTAGTGAGGACAGGACTGGTGTACAGGGCCTGTCCTGAGTCTGCTGGGGTGAGGGGACCGGGCAGGCAGGCTGAGGTAGTTATCCTAGGGGGGCACTGGAGCCATGGAGGTGGGGCTGCTGCAGTACTGGGAGCCCTCTCACAGGTAGTGTAGGGCTGGACACCCCTCGGCTTTCCTGGCCAGCCACAGCACTCATTGCCATCCTCTGCGGCAGCATCAATAAATACATGAGTTTTGAGCCTCCGAGCTCAGTCCAGTGCTGTCGGGGGGCAGGGGTGTGGGAGCCAGGCTGCTCCATGGCGCTGCCTGGAGCATGCCCATGCCAGGGGGATCACACCAGGTTGTTGACCAGGCGCTCCTGTTGCTCCAGTTCATTCACCACATTGGCACTGTAGGCATCGCCTGAGGAGAGAGAGAGTGTGGGTGGGGGGGACACAGCAGCTGCAGCACTGCCAGCCTCACCACTTCCCCCCACCCTAACCACCATGCCCCCCCTGCTCCCGTCCCTCCATACTTGTGTGGCAGCCGTGCATCCAGACGCGTTGCCCATCATACTTGCACTGGCACCGCATCACGTTGTTGGAGAAGTCGGACTCGGCCACCTCCTGCTTGGGGTTTACGACCACCTGGGGAGGGCAAGGAGCAGAGCTAGGGACACCACTGGCCTCCCCCCACAGAGTGCCACCATGCCCTGACAAAGCAGGGCCACGGTGAGCACTGCAGGGTGCAGAGCAGCACTCCGATGTGCAGGGTGAGGTGTGCTGGTGGTGCCCATGGAGGACAGTCCCCAGCCCTGAGCTCCAGTAGCTTGGTGTCCCCATACCTGGAAGGTGTAGCTGCCTGGTGGTATGTCAGTGATGTCGATCCACTGGCAGTCAATGTCGTGGCGGTAGGTGTCCCAGCACCCCACGCTCACCCCTTGTTCCCCAAAGTTGGCGCAGGCAAAACGTCGCTGCAGCCCTGCAGGAGGGAGGGGAGGTGAGGGAGGGCCTGGGGAGCAGGACAGGTGGGTCACTGGCAGCTCTCTGACTGGCACCTACCCTCAGGGCAGTTGGTGTCCTCCAGGCAAAAGCTGGCCTTGTGCCCTTCAGCCACCTTGGAGCCATTGAGTGTCAGCAGGTCATAGTGGGTGAAGACCTCAATGCTGTGGAAGTGCCTGTGGAGACATGGGCTGAGCACGGTGCTGGTGCCCGGCCAGGGAGCATGCAGCTGGCCCAGCCAGGAGTGGGCAGCACCCAGAGGCTCAGAGCAAATTACAGCCTTGAAGCCAAATAAAGCCATAATGACAGAGCCAGCGTGGACGCTGCTAATTACCCTGGGTGAGCCAGCCCCTTCCCATGGGCCACTCACCGGTGACACTGGTGCCAGGTCCAGGCATGGCGCCCCATTCTGGGTCGGAAATCAGCTCTGCCCAGGTTGTGGATCTGGGAGGAGAAGCGAAGGAGGCGGCGGTGGCCATAGGGCCACTGCATGTGGTCGGCGGAACGGGAGAGGCAACGCTCTTCATGGGCGCAGTACAGCAGCCCCAGCGGCCGGTCCTCCAGGTAGGCTGTCTCCTGCACCAGCTGGGCATTCATCACAAGGTCTGGGGCATCTGTCATGGAGGGGATCAGCAGGGATAGAGTGGGTGGTCTTCACCCTGCATAGCCCCCCGCCCCCCACTCTCTGTACCCCATTGACTCCCAGTACTCACAGCTGGTGCAGGTGACACCTGCTGAGAAACGTCCCCCGCCGCTGGGGCAGTGGACTGGGCCATGGCGCTGGCACTGCTGGAGAGCCAGCTCAGTGCCGGCACAGCGCACCCCACTCATCACCACCTGGGTGGCATCGGGGCTGCCTGCCCAGTACCACGTCTCCTGGGCAGAGAAGGAACACAGCGTTCACACCAGCCCTTGTACCTCCTCTGCCAGTTCCCCTGCTCCTGAGCTGCAATCAGGTCTTCTCTTTGCCCCAACCATCCCAGAGCCCCCCAGCCACTCTATGCCCACACCACACATCCTGTAGGATCCCTCACTGCCCAGTGCCCGGGCTCGGAGCCCACTCACCTGGAGGGCATGGCTGGCAAAGCCCAGCCCCAGCTGCCTGCAGATGACCATGGCCTCGTTCAGCCCCCACTGTGCACCGCACACTGCACCCCACTGTAGCCGCCCCTGCACTGGCACCAGCACCTCCACCACTCCTTCCTCGGGGCTGCGGCCTCCAGCCAGCCGCACCTGAAGGCAAAGAGGGATTGAGATGGAGCATGGGGCAGACCCCCAGCCCTCCTACCAGGTGCTGAAATGAAGCAGGCAGCCTCATGCATCCAGCTGAACATCTCCCACACCTTCTCCCTCCCTTCCTCCCCACAGGACCATTTGTGCCACCAGCTCATCCTGCAGCCCCCCATCCCCTAGGCCACCCCAAGACTGCTCTGAGCATCCACACTAGGCACAGAGCTTGGGTGTCCAGGGGTTGTGCAATGGGGTGGGGGCTCCAAAGGCTCTGAGGAGGAGGCAGGGGCTCACCTGGCTCTGGAAGTCCATCTGGGGCATGTGGCAGCGGACGGCGGCATCGGCCTCATGCCGGCATCCACTCTGCTCGGCGTTCTGGAAGCGGCACTCGTCCAGGGAGCGCTCATGGCCGGTGCACCTTATGTTGCTCATGTGGATGGGGCCCAGGCCTGAAGCAGAGGGAAGGTCAGTGCTCCCCACTCCATGCTCATCCTGGAGCAGAGAGTACCCCCACCCTCCTTCTCCGGGTCTGGAGGTTCCCTCTGGGCAGGGGGCTGCCTGTGGCAGGAGCAGCCAGGGGAGCCCTCTCCCAGTACAGGCTGGAGCCTCCTGGACAATCCCAGCATGCTCCAGCAGCACTCAGTAAGCTTTCTCTTCTGTGCCCCACCAGCATCCTAAGTCCATGCCACGCCATCTTCCTCACCTTGGCCCATCTGGGCTCCCACCAGGGCCTGCTTTGCTGTCCCATAGCCCAGCTGCCGGCACACCACGCTGGCCGCGGCCAGGTCCCACTGCTTGTCACACACGGTGCCCCACTGCCCGTGGCGGAGCACCTCCACCCGGCCCTCGCCGATGTGGGTGCTGCCCGTGGCGGAGCACCTCCACCCGGCCCTCGCCGATGTGGGTGCCTGCTCGCAGCCGCACCGGGAGCACCTGGACATGGCAAGCAGCTGGTCAGTGGCACCAGGGCAGGGCCACCCATGTGCATCATGAGCACTCATGCAAACGGAGTGGCCGGGTGCTGCCCAGGTCCAGGACCCTCCGTCAGTAGGACAGAGTGTGGGGCCGTGCCAGGGCTCACCTTTCCTGCAGAGGTCTTGCTCCTGCCCTTGCCTGTGTTCTTCTGGAAGGGAGAGCCAGGGAGGCAGCTGACGATGGCATGCATGCCACGGGGGCAGGCATGCTGGCGGGGGGCTGGTGGGTCCACCTGTGTGGGGCAGTGGGCCAGGTGGGGCTCTGTGCCCTGGCACCGCACTTTGTGGACCCAGAAGCTGTTCTTCTGGCTGAGGGTCTTCAGGCTGTCAAGTGAGAGGAGCAGGGGGAAGTGTCAGCTCAGGTGATGGACACTTTCCCTCACCCACCAACAGCACTGGGTGTCCACACAGGGTGCCCCTGCCCAAGGCTGAGCCCTACCTGGAGTTGGGATCCTTCAGCTTCATGTTCCAGAGCTTCCTGTGGGTGCACAGAGCCAGGAGGTCAGGGGCAGCCATGCCAACCCCACAGGGCTCCATATCTCCCACCCCATCATCCCTGCCCTGCCCAGCACTCCATGGCAGGAACTGGAGCTGTGGGGTCCTCCCACAGCATGGCAGGGAGAGGACAGGTCCTCTCCCCACTGGCAATTACTGTGCCAAGTCTGGCCATGCTCTGTACTCCGGAGGAAATGTGCAACTCCTGGCATCGGCAGGGGCTCATTACGGGCTGTATTTATAGCCCCAACCTGAGGTGGGGGTGGAGGGACCAATGGCCACTTGCTTCTCCTCTCCTTCCACCCACGCTTTGCTGGCCATGGCTGGTGACTGTCCCCACAGCTGCCCAGTTACTGCTGAGCCCAGCTTTGTCGAGGCCCCAAGAAGAGGCCCTAGGCATGGCCAGGTCATACCAGCAACCCATGTACGCACCCACATGTACATCCCTTCCCCAAGGCCTGAGACCCCCTGGTCTCTTGGTCCCGCAGCGCAACCAGCCAGGCGCCCTGCCCCACATGCCCCACAGCTGCCATGAGGCTCTCCCGCAACCCTACCGGTAGAAGCTGGTGTTGATGTGCTTCTCCTGGGGGAAGCCCAGCATGCCGCAGACCACACGGCTGTTGTTCCTGGTCCAGCGAGCATCGCACACCTGCTTCCAGCGCCCATTGTGCTTCACCTCCACAGCCCCCTCTGTCACTGGCATGCTGAGCTTGGCCCGCGCCAGGATGGGCTTCAGCCGCACCTCTTCCAGCCTCAGGCCCAGCACCTGTTGTGGTGGGCACAGTGGTGGGCATGGGGGCTCCAACATTGAAAGCAAGGTGTGCAGGATGAAGACAAGGGTCAAAGGGGCTTGCCCCAGCCCCTCCGTCCACCCTGTTGGACACTTACGTCTCCCAGGTGACGAGAAGTGGTGGCTTGGGGGAGTGCACTGGGCAGGCGCTGTCCTGAGCACACCACGCCAGCGTCCTCGCCGTGGTGGCAGTCGCTGGTGCCCCAGCCATTGTGGACGCACTCTGCCAGGGAGCCCTCACTCCCCCCACATCGCACGTTGTCCAGCCAGATGGGGCCTGGGGTGGACACACACAGGGCTGAGGGTCACCGCTGGGGGCGTCCTCATCTCCCTCCCCAGCACCATGGGCCTCATCCATTGCCTTCTGCAGGCTACCCACACCCACAGCTCCCCGGGCAGGCTCCCCTAGCCAGCACTAAGCACACTGCTCTCTCGAGGACCTCTTGCCCCTTCCCATTCCCCACCTGTCCCCTACCTTCCCCTTGGCCATAGGTAGCACTATGGGT